AAAACGCAGCCTAATTTTCATTTTTGGGTGAACTAACCCTTTAAGATGTTGTGTCTAATGCCGTTACAAAAGCACTTTTCGTACTACCAACATCTTTAACAGGTTTGACTCTGGCTAATGTTCTAGGTAAATACATTCACATGAACTGTCAATCATATGAACGCACTCAACCTTTTCCAGGTCTCTCACCTATTTATTGATAACATCTGTCCCATCATCCCTCGCTTCTCTGTTTCACCAGCTGTACTTCAGTATCACGCTGTAACGGTTGACATTAATGGGACATACCTCTTCTGTCTGGCTCTTGTACTCCAATAAGCCTGGCTATTTTCAGATGCAGAAGATATTTGCTCATGAGAAAAGAAAACAGACTAAACCTTCCCTTGATTTCAGCACGTAACGAGCAATGAATACAGCAGTCTGGACTTCATCCAGCGAACCCTCTGCAAACATCAATCCAGAAAAACTTGTTATGCCTCACAGAACATTTCCAAGCTAGTGTTTTTCTAAAACCTCTAAAACAGGAAGTAGAATTAAGAAAATGGTTCCAACAATTCAGTTGAAAGATATAGCAAATAACTTATTAAATGGATAAATTGTCTGGATCCAACCCTTACGGAGATCTGAGATGACCGAACACTTGATGCTAACCCTGAACAACATAAAACTACCAAATTTAGCTTAATCACAATGTTTAATCGCAGTCGCAAAGTTTAATCGCAACATATAATCATTGCAGTTAATAGTGTTCACCGCCTGTTTGATTATGTGTAATTTGTAACTAACTGCATGATTCTTACTGTACATTTCTGCCGTAGTCACCACTAATAACCTACTCCTAAATATAATGTAGAAACGTAATATTTTATGTAAAGCTGCTCAGCAACGATTGGTATTGTTAAAAGCGCTATACAAATAAACTTGAATTGAACTGAAAATAATTCTACTTCTGGAAACCAATCAGTCTATACAGCATTTCAGTCACACTAAAACAACAAAATGAACTAAAATAGTGATTCTTCTATTAATATTTGTGTAATGATGCAACTCTAATATGATTAATGGACAGTTCAAATGAATTAAACTTATCAACTCTTGCCAACAAACGGATTAATTCAAATGGATGGTTTGAAATGATTCACAGAAATGAATTAAATACCAATTCTTGTCAATAAGAATTAATTCATTAAAAGAAATGAAGTGATCTTTCCAAAACTTGCAGATGAATCAAAATTAAGTTAATTAATTAGAATGGACAGTTTAAACTGATTCACAGAAATTAATATTTCAAAATCTCACCCCTGAATCAGAAATTATTGATTCAAATGGAGAGTTTCAAAAGGATTTACAGAAATGAATCAAACTTATTGCCAATAAATTAGAATCTATTAATCTGAATGGACAGTTTGAACTGATTCACCGAAATGAATCAAACTTACCAACACTTGCCAATGAATCATAAAAGATTAATTGAAATGGACAGTAATCAAACTCATTCAATTAAATGAATCAAACTTATTGCCAAAAAAATCTGAATTAATTAATTTAAATGGACAGTTTGAACTGATTCACGGAAATTAATCAAAATTACCAACTCTTGCCAATGAATTAGAATTTTTTCATTCAAGTGGACAGTTTTAATTGAATCAATATTACCTAATCTTGCCTACTTTTGCTACTTGAGTTTAAATCAGGGACACTATTTAAACATCTCAAACTCACAAGTAATGAGACAACATATACAGTATAATATATAACCATAAATTATGCTACTCACTTGGAGATCCAAAAAGCACTGTGTCCAGAGCCTTCAGCTGTAGTTTCTGTGCATGACTGCGGTCTGGTATCTTCAGCACGGACAGAAGCAGGGTGGCATTTTTCACAGCAAGTCTGTGAATGGAACCATCTTGATCACCGAATTCACTTCAGTCCAAAAGCTGAAAAACTAACGTTAGAGATTGGGCAGGTCATTCCACCAGGAGGGAACAGTTAATGAAAAAATGGTTGATGTTAATGAAAAAATAATGGTTTAAGGTGCAAGAGGACACTGAGAACATTGCCATGGAAGATATATTGAACAAATGATGGAAGCTTTATGCTTTCAGTTCCACAAACCTAATGCTTTCACTTCTACATGCAGGTAAGGTGGTGTGGGTTTATAATGTGGACTATCTGGGATGATTTTGAAATGACTCTAAAATGGTTAAATGCTTTTCACTGAAATAATTAGCCTGATGAGATGTGTGCAAACCTTCAGAGGCCTTCCAGGACTTCCACATATCCTCCACTGTGATCAGCATATCTGCTCTATGGAAGCTGTTGTGTTTTCCTTTAGGGTCGTGGTACTTCAGGTCTTCCCTTAGAAACTGTTTGAGGAAACAAAGACTGGATGTTAAAATTCTCTGATGTGGTGGTTCTCATCTGATGGGTTGCGACTCAAAAATGGGTCACAGTTTGTTCTGATAGGGTCACATGCAGCTGGTAAAAAAATCGTGAATGCAACTGTATAAACATGTTTTTTAAGTATTGCAAAAATAAATAGGCATAACAATTTTCAAATGCAAGGAGAAAAATCCAGCACCCAGATCTTAGCAATAAAACAGTCACATGCTAGTCTAGACTTGATTGTTTGCACTTCTAGAAGAAATTTCTTTTTACAGCACTGTGTATTTGCATAATTCAACATTTGGCAAGAGACGTAAAGCCACAGCAAACAGCTGATTAACTTGTAATGTTTGTCTTGGGTTGTTGTGATCCAGTAGTTCTACTGTAGAGCCTCAGACAACCTACATTATGTAAACGCTGACAGTTTCACTGGGTCCAGTAGCTTCACAATCCCTCAGATCAGCTCTGACTGTGGTAAAGGTTACACTCACAGGACTGTCTATGGCCTTGGGCAGGCTGCTGTCGGTCAGCAGTAATACTGTTTACTCAGAGTGCTCAGATGTGACATTCTCATGAAAAAGGAATCGCTTTGGGTGATTCAAAGAGAATACAGAGTGCTTTTTATAGCCTATGTTCATAACCCATAATCATGGCGAATCACTTTTGTTTGCATGCAAAAGTGTCATGCCCATCAAACTGATGGTGACAGGCACATCCAAAAATGGATTTTGAATTTCCTTTTTCCAAAAAAAAAAAAGAGTTTGTATCTTTGATAATTAGGTTGCATGATTATTGTAAAAAATATTATAGAAAAAAACATATTGTACCAAAGTGTCTGAAATGTAGTGACAGCAATCACTCATCTAAATTGAGTCACACTTTCCAAAGATCATTTGCTTTAAACATATAATTCCACCCACCTATCACAAACTACTATGACTATAACTACTATGAGTTAAGTAAAAAATTAAAATAAAAACATTACCAAAAATACATAATCACTATTCAAAAGTTTTGGGTGAGTACAAAGTTTTTTTTTTAGTCTTTTATGCTCACAAAGCCTGCATTTATTATATTTTAGAAATACAGTAAAAAGAGTAATTCTGTGAGATATTACCAATTGAAAATATTTTAATAATGTAATTTATTCCTGTGATGGCAAAGCTGAATTTTTAGCATTATTACTCCAGTCTTCAGTGTCACATAATCGTTCAGAAATCATTCTAAAATGCAGATTTGGTGCTCAAGAAACATTTATTATTATCAAAGATTAAAAAGTTGTACTTTTTAGTATTCATTTACTATTTTTAGTATTAATTTGTTTAAAAAAAGTTTCAGACCCCAAAAGTTTAAAAAAGTTTTAATCTCTACATTTATTATTGAAAATGATAAATGTATAATAAAAAAAGACATAGTCCCCATTTAAAAATCACAGTTGAAAGATGAAAAAACCCTATAACAACGTGTAATGTATGTTCTTCTTCTCTGTAAAAGTTTTGCAACACACTCAGACTTGTACCAGTACAGCTGTACACTGCAAGCCAGTATGTTGTACTTCACTGTGCTGCACTGTCGTACTGTCAAGTATTTGTAAAGCGCATTTGACAATATATATTTCAAAGTAGCTTTACAGAAATCTATGTCTCTAGTAAGCAAGCCAAAAGCCACTGTGTCCTTTCAAGCAAGCACTTGTTTGTACATTGGGCACAGTGCACTGTGCTGCAACGTCAACCTCTCAACACAGCAGACCACAAAACCACACACAAATGCTGCAGCCCTCACCCCATCCGTCTCTGTCACGTCCACGCTGCCGTCTGCATCATCGTCCATGTCTTTGTGAATGCTGCGGATGGCCTCGAAACTTAGCAGAGCGTTTTCATCATGGCAAAGAAGCTCATCGATACCACACAGTTCTGAAGAGAGAAAAAAACAATATGTAAGACAAGTCCACTTTTTTACACAATTGTTATGTTACAAAACCTAGTAAGTTAACAGAGGGATCATTTTAAGCAACATGACCACTGTACCTCAAGGTAGCCATATTAACTGCCACCCAAGATATTGGCATCTAGCATAGCGTTAGTTCTGGCAGGTCACGTTAGTCAAGCTCGCATCAGCTGACTCTCAGCTGATCCCCATCAACCTATGGGAATACGACACCTATCTATGCATTCATATATAAGGTCCCTCAGTATTATCAGCAGTTTTCGCATTGCTCAATAGCTAATTACCCTCCTCCATCCCCAACTCCTCCTCTGTCAGTCAGGATTCAGCCTTCTGATTCTCCTTTGAATCAGACTAATTCTAAAATGTGTACATAACATTATTGAACTTTAACGGTATCTGCAGTACATTTATGTTGGTTCTGTTCTGTTTACCCTGGGGGGGTTATCGCTGCTCTCCCTGCTCTCATCCATGCTAGGCTGCATGGATGCGCAGGGAGTTCTTGCCCAGAACGGAACCATACCGCCAATCCAAACTGTATGCTAATTGTCAATCATCTTTGACGATAGTGGTCCTGACAGAACAAACTCTATGGCAGCATTGCATGTATTCAGAGAACGCAATACCAGATTTCAATATGTGAAACTTAGTGAAAAATACATCCAAGATGGCAGACAAGTTTAGAGAAATACACTTATTAGAACAAATACACTTAGATTTTTCAGCCTTGGCGGCCTTCGTATTTTTTCCCACAGACATTTTCAAAAAGTCTAAATATATAGTATAACCAAAGTTAAAACGCTATAAGGTGCGAACCAATCCAACTATCTATGAGATGAATCATGACATTGCAAACTCCAATTTGAAGCAAAATATTATTTCTATCATGACAACTCTCTGAAGATTTTAGCATGGTAATGGATATGACAATGTTAATGTATTTGGTCTTGGCAAAATAGATCTGCTACACTGCTGCTTTAGATTATTGCAAAGCAAGTACAGTAACTTGCTACTGCCAATACATACACTGATACAGTGCTATGAGTATTTAAAGGGGTCATATGACGTTGCTAAAAAGAACATTATGCTCTTTCACAACGAAACACACGACGGGCTTGAGTGAGCGGAGACGGGCGGGCTTGAGAACGGCGCGGCCAGCGGATTTGACGAAGGGGTGGCCGGCGGGCGTGCGGCAACCACATGTGACGACCCTGGGCTGGACTCCACTTCGTCCACGGTGAAAGCCGATCCAGCGATCGACAGCGCGAAGTTGAAGTATTTCCTCAGCGACCAGCACAGATCAGCTCTAGGCATGACGAAGCGATATCGT